TAATATCCCTGATGAATATAGATGCAAAAATATTCAACTAAATACTAGCAAACCAAATTCAGCCGTACATTAAAAAGGTCATTCACCATGATTTATTGGGATTGATCCCTTGGATGCAAGGGTGACTCAACACATGATATTCAATCAGTGTAATACACCACATTAAGAAAATGAAGGATAAAAATCATAGGACCATCTCAATAGATGCAAAAAAAAAAGCATTTGACAAAATTCAACATTTATTTATGATAAAAACTCTCATCAAAGTGAGTGCAGAGGGAATATACCTCAACATAATAAAACCCACATATGTCAAACCCACAACTAATATCATACTAAATGGTGAAAAGTAGAAAGCCTTTTCTCTAAGGTCAGGAACAAGACAAGGATGTCCACTTTCACTGCTTTTATTCAACATAATATTGGAATTCCTAGCCAGAACAGCTAGGCAAGAAAAAGAATTAGGAGGCATCCAAATTGGAATGGAAGAGATAAAAGTACTACTATTTGCAGATAACATGATATTATATGTAGAAAACCCTAAAGAATTCTGTCAAAAAAATTGTTAGAACTAATAAATTCAGTAAAGTTGACCAATACAAAAACAATACATAAAAATCTATTGTGTTTCTCTATACCTCACATTCAAAACAGGGATGATAGTCCCTTCCTATAGTGAGGATTAAGTGAGAAGGGTACATGCAAAGTCTGGGGTACTGAATCTGTCCCAGAGTAGGTAGGCAGGGGATGGGAGCTATTATTACTATTCAAGGGATGTTATTTTAAATCAAAGGAGATGAGGGATGTGAAACACTTTGTAAGCATTAAAATGCAACACAAATGCCATGGGAGATAATTCTCTTGTATCTATTCAGGGCATGGGTTCTTATTCTCTCAGAGGAAGAGTCTAAAGGCAAGCCAAGCATTGTGCTGGATAAGATGCTGTTCTGTTTGCCTTTTGACGTTTTTGGGCTTCAAGTACATTTTCAGTTTCTGCCTGGCTTCCAGGTCTAGGGACACTCTAAGCATCTTATAGGTAGAGTCTACTCATCAAGTGGTTGGTCCAGGATCTGGGGGAAAGTTTTGGCAATACAGATGTGGGTGGGCCTTGATTTAGCTCTGGTTTTGCCTAATCCTTGGTGACCTGTTGGTGGTATTCGTTACTGGAGTTTTGGAAATGGTTTCAGGAGAAACCCATGGCTGTGCTTCCTGGCATTTGGTACCCTGGCTGACCTTCTCCTTGACCTCAGAACCAAGGACTCACAGAAGTATAGTTTGGTAGCATTGGCACAGGCAATGCAAATAATAGCTGCTAATGGTTACCGAGTGCTTATTGCAGGCCAGGCTCTCTGCTAAGTGCTTTGTATACTTTCACATTGAAACCTAACAACCCTGGGAGGTAGGTATCATTATTATCTCCCTGTTACAAATGAGAAAATTGAGACTTGTAAAGAAACTTGCCTAGGGTTATGTTTCTGGTAAATATTTTTGGACCCTGGACTGTCTGATTCTAACGCTGTGAGATCTTTTCATTGTTCTAAGCGGTCTTTGCATTTAGCAGTGCATAAGAGTTCATTAAAATTCTTGCTCCATGGGCCCTAACTCTCTAGTTGTGAGGTAGAGCCTGGCCCTGTAATGTTTTCATTTTCTCAAATTTATTGAGGTATAATTTACATAAAATAAAGTGCACCTATTTTAAGTGTCTAGTTTGATGAAATGTGATAGTTGTGTACAATTGTGTAAGTATCACCATTGTCAAGATACGAAACATTTTCATAACCTTAAAGAGTTTCTATGCCTTTTGATTCCCTGATGCCCATAATATTTATCAGCCGGGCAGATGTGTCTGCTGCACAGCTCGGTGTGGGACCATTGTATTGTGCTATGGTGCCTGCAAATGTGGGAGCTGAAGTCCTGGCAAAGGATAAAAGCAGAAAAAAGACACTTAAAAGGAAGAATGAGACCTGGAGAGTATTATGCTAAGTAAAATAAGCCAGTCATAAAAGGTACCATGTGATTTCATTTATATGTTGAATCTAATGAACAAAATAAACTAACAAATAAAATAGAAACAGATTCAGAGATATAGAGAACAGACTGACAGGTGTCAGAAGGGAGGGGGTAGGAGAGCTGGGTGAAAAAGATGAAGGGATTAGGCCAAAAACCCCCCAAAACTGTATGGTGGTTACCGGAGGGAAAAGGGGATGGGGATAGGTAAAGGGGGATAAATGGTGTTGGAAGGAGACTTGACTTGGGGTAGTGAACACACAATACAATATATATGTGATGTATTATAGAATTGTACCCCTGAAACCTATGTAATTTCATTAACCAGTGTTACCCCAATACATTTAATTAAAAAAAGGAAGAATGATAAACTATGCTGTACTGGCTACTTGTGGTGAGATAGACTGTGGAGGAGAGAACTTTCTGGACCAAATTCACTTAAACAAAAAGAAAGCTTCTAACATGGTTTCTTCCTGAGCTGCATAGAGATGAAGGATTCTGAACAAAGTTGATGTAGATGGCTGGGTAAAATGCTTCAGGATGGAGAGTTGGGGCCACTAGCTACTATTGAGAAACTGTGAAAGGAGCCTTGGTTATGGCAAGGAGGGTTAGGAATGGGGTAAGATGCTCTGCTAGTCTCCACGGATGGGACCTTTTCTCCAGGCAGACACTACTTTGGTTCCTTTGACTTCCCCCTATTGCAAGAATTCAATAGCAACTCTTCCTATTTGAAGTCCGTTCAGTAAGGTTACTTATCCTAAGGAGCAAACAGGTTCAGGCTGTGGTCCAGAGAAAGTTTGGATAATAAGGTAGAAAATGTAAATTGTAGCTCAAACTAGAGAAGATTAGGGTGGGAACGTTGTGGCAGCAGTCTGGAGACTTTAATTCTTGGCTCAGTTCTGGACTGGTTTTACTAGGTAGCCTTTTCTTGATAACCATCTCTGAGTCGCCTCTGTTCTGTGTACTTCTTGTGGACGGAGTGAGTGGTGGACAAAGTACTGTGTGGGTGGCTCCTTTCACAGCTTATCAATAGTATGGCTTCAACACATACATTGTAATGATGGTTAGCATGGCAAAAGTAGATTGCAAAGAAAATTCTGTAAATTTTAAACAGCCTCTCAATGGTTGTATATTACAGCCTAAATATGTTCAGCCCTTGTGTATTTCCTTTCCTGGCCTTTTTTTTTTTTTTTTTTTTTTTTAATTTTCTTTCTCTCTGATTTGTTAGATGTGACATTTCCCCTGTTTCCTGTATGGAAGTTGTGAATGAGGGTATGAAGTTGTAAAAGAGAGACTCATCTTATTTTTATGTCATTTTTATGAATCGCCCAGTAGCCTTCCTGGTGGATGTCTGCACTTTGACATGGATTCTGGGGTTCAGTTTCCTTATTTGTGATGTTCAGCTACTCCTGGTTTATGTGATTTACCTCAAGAGGAAATAACTGGAGTAGAGCTCTCAAACTGATTAGAGGAAGAAGGGATAGAGAAAGATGCGAGGAGTATTGTTGTTAAAGGAAGAAGTGGTGATAACAGGGCTGCAGTGTGTAAATAACACCACCCAGGCCTCTTATTTGAGAAAGAGTGAATTTGGGAAATGGCCTTATCTGAGAGGACACTGAGTTGTCAGGAGACCATCTTTGAGAATAACATCCTAGCCAGTTTGAGTTCAAGTGGCTGTATGAAGTTTAAGTTGCTCTTAGTTTATATTACCTCAGTGTTCCTCCTTCCAAAAGCCTTGGTTTCAGGACTTTGTAGCAGTGCAGAAGCCTAACAGGCCAAAATTATAAAAATAGTAGGTTTATTGAACATCTCCCATACTTTCCCTGAAGCCCCCTATAAAAAAATTAGAGTCCAATAAAATTTTCCTCTTAAAAAATCTCAGAGATTAACTCTAATAAGAAAAATGGAACATGAAGACATTTTTTAGACTCATGATTTCAGAGCTGAAAGGGACTCTAGAGATTGTCTGGTCTCATCCTGTCTAAGGATGAGGAACTGAGGTCCGGCGTGAGGAGAAGACTTGCTGAAAGCCACTCAGATAGCTAGTGGCAGTACGGATCCTGAGAAGCACAGGGGTGACATGGAGGGTCCCAGAATAGAGATGCTCATGTATAATTTACTGAGGCATCAGGGAAGCTTCTAAACTCATTTTTGTGCCTAATCAATTATCAGTAGCTGATTGCCTCAATTACCCCTAAGCCTCTTGGTTGTGGCTAGGAGACAGACTGGCCTCCTGCCTTCCCCAAGATTATGTTTTAGAGTTAAGTTAGTCTAATTTGAGCCTCAACAGATGGAGATAAGAGGGTGTGAGATACTTAGGCTGGAGATGGGGAGTCAGCGGGAGACTTTGTAGTTAGAGCCACAGATTAGTCAAATTCCAATATGACAGACTTTAGGAATATATTTTAGGTTTGTATTGTGAAATTTGGCCTCTTGCAGTAAAATAGGGTTTGTTTCAGTTTCACCTGTTTCTACCAGTGTCCTTTTCTAATTTCTCTTTGCATTCTTCTCAGTTCTATCAAGCTCTTTCCCCCATCTATTCTCTATCTGACTCTTAGAGCTACTGTAGATTTTGGGAGAAGGAACTGGAACATGAGCTGTGACCTACAAGTCAGTTTCTCCAGGTGGATAAACTCCACGGCAAGCCACAGAGGGAGGGGCCTCCTCATTCCAGCAATCTGGCTAGGCTGACAGACTCATAGCCTATGGGGGCAGGGGCGGAGGTGGGGGCCAGTATTTCTTGGGCTAGTGAGGAACTGCCTGAGCCTTTGCAGTCTAGGCGGAGGCGACGGAAGCCTTTGGGGTCGACTTGCCGTCTGGCCTGGGGATGCCTGGGCAGATGTGGAGGCAGCTGGAAAGGTGGCACCGCACTTGGGTCGCTGGAGCTGCGCTGTTCCTAGGAGACGGAGGAGCAGCAAGCCTGCGGGGGAGGGGGAGCAAGTGGGTTGCTGCTTTTAGCAGCTGAAAGGGCTGCAGGGAGCTCTGGGTAAGACATTTTCTGCTGCTGCTGCTTCTGCGGTACAAGCTGCCGCTAGTAAGTCAGAGGAAGGAGGATCGAGAGGGAGGAGGCTTCATTTGCAGCCATGCTGAATCACTGTTGCTGATCAGATCTGCTGGTTGGCTGCGAGAACTGAGAACAGAGCTAGGATCTCTGGGTGCATGCACAGTTCAGCAGCTGCCATCCCCGCTGGGCCTCGCACAATGGAGGGTGAAAGGTATGTATTTACAAGTATGTGTTGTGTCGTGGTGTGTGTGTGTGTGTGTTTGTGTGTGAAGTGAATGTGTGCTCGTGCGGCAGCCACCAGCTTTTGTGTTTGCGTTAGCTAGGCAGGGTTGGAAGACCTGGCCACTGATGGATCCCAGCAGGAGGCCGAATAGTGCTGGGAAGCGAATAGTGCTGGGAAGCGCCTTTCTCCAGAGAGCTAGCCTATGCAAACGCAGGTCGGGTTTGCTGGGCAGCAGAGCACCCTGAAAGAAGGGACTTCCTGGCTGGTGTTTGGGAGTAGTTTCAGCATGGGCTGACTCAGGATTGCCTTTTTCAAGCTGTTTCAAGGAGGCATTTCCCTTTCCTGGCTACTTTCCCGGGGTATTTTTTCTTTGGTGGGTTTTTTTCGGTGTCATAGCAGGGCTTGCCTGGCATAGAGTGATTGTGTTTTCCACTGAAGTGCTCAAATCTTGAGCAACCATGCCATGCTGATGTCTTTCCTAAAAGTGTGTGTGTGCAAGCATGTGCGTGTGTGTCTGTATACACACACAAGTTGAGGTTAGAAGGAGAGAAACCTATCAGATGACACTTGCTCTGATCTGACTTTCATTTGCATTGAAAAGTTTATAAATGATACTGGAAGGTGTGTGCTTAGGAGGAACTCTTACTTCTTCCTCCAGAGGTTTCTTATAAAATAGGAATTGGCAGGAGGGAATTTAAGTATTTCTGTCGAGCTGTACAAGGGTTTATTTCCTGGCAGGCTCACGCATATAAAATTTAAACTATCACGTGAGGATCTGAGTTTTTCATTGTGAAGGTGCTCAGTGCAGTGCGGGGATGGGTCATTCTTCTGTGTGCTAAACATCTCATGTTGTGCCAGCCGCTTCATTCTGTGAATCTGCCGCTGGTAGAGAACAAGGCTTGCCATTTGCCTCTAGGTGTGAAGACAACAGGGAGGGGTCAGGGCACAGAAGTGCACCCCTAAGGGGAGGACTGCTGTTCTGTGTTGCCAGTTTGATGCAGACGGTAACTGGTTGGTTAAATGATAACAGGTTTAATTAACTAAGTCAACACTTTCTGGAGAGTACTTCAATAAACACTTTTTTTTTTTTTTTTTGCACAGATTGTCCCTACTCTTGTTTCTCATGGTGCAGAGTGATGTCATTAAACATATCTAGACCTCATCAGAACTGGCATGATTGTTGGGTGTCCTCTTATCTGGATCACTGTTGCTGATCAGATCTGCTGGTTGGCTGCGAGAGCTGAGAACAGAGCTAGGATTTCTGGGTGCATGCACAGTTCAGCAGCTGCCATCCCCGCTGGGCCTTGTCCAACAGAGGCCCCAGGGACTGTGTTTCTTGATGTGACTTCCATAGGAAGAGTCTGGGGCTTGCTTATTTATTTATTTATTTATTTATTTGTCCTCACCCAAGGGCATTGTTATTGATTTTAGATAGAGGGGAAGGGATGAGGGGAGAGGGAGCGAGAGAGACATCTATGTGATAGAGAAACGTCAATTGGTTGCCTCTCATAAGCGCCCCTACTGGGGAATGAACCCACAACCTAGGTATGTGCCCTGACTGGGAAATGAGCCCCCAACCTTTCGGTTTATGGGATGATGCTCTGTGCAACTGAACCACATCAGCCAGGGCAGGAAGAGGCTGGGATTTTTTAGATGGAGTATGCTGCTGATGCAGCCTCTCCCTGGATAGTCTTTTGCAGTGGAAGCTTAGTGTTGGATTCTATGTGGCCTATTTCCTAGACTTGGGGCAGAGGTGGGCAGGGCCCTCACTTTCCTTTTGGTATAGTACTTAGCAGAAGGGTAGGGGCGATGTGAATGGAGGTTTAGAAATTCTGGGCCAGGCCTATTTCCTTGACCCATGATATAATGGGGCTGAAAAGTTCATGTGAAACTAGCAGCAGCAGATCAAAGTACTGCTTCCCAAGCATTTTTAGGTACCTAATGTATTCTCAGTACTGTATTCAGAAATATAATGAGTCCATGCCCTCAAGGAGCTCTCTTGTTCTTCAATACTCAGATGCCTTTGAGCTGGCATGGCTGGTTTCTTTTGCTTTATAAAGATTGCTTTTGCATGTGTTTTTTTGCTTTTCCCTTATTGGAGACAGTGGGTAGGTAAGAAATCCAAACTGAGCAGCTTCCAACATTCACCAGGTCACCCAGCTCACTATGTTTTGTTTCTGCTGCAGGCCCAGCTTCCCATGCCAGGCATTTGTCTTCTGAAGTCTGGCTCCATGCTCCATTTCTACTGCTCGCTCATACCCCCACCAGGGGAATCTCTTGGTCTCTTTTTGTGATTGTTCATCCTGCACACCATTTTCTACAGCTTCAGATCACTTACCTTCCAGAGTTCGTTTTGCTTGGAGTGCCTTTCTCCTCCTTTTTCTAAAAGTTTTAAAATTCCACGTTATGTGGGAAACCTCAGCTTTTCTAGTCCCAGCTGATATTTTTCGGAATTTCAAGACCTCTCGGTTGTATCTCATAGTTGGCCACTGAATAATACTTCCAACCACCGAATTTTTATGCTTTTTTTTTTTTTCATGGACTTTGTAAGTCCCCAAACTTGGAGACAGGTCCTCAAGGGCAAGGATGGTGCCTATGCCTCTGAATAGTCCTTACTGACTACTCTGTAGCTGTGTGCGTAGTAGGTTCTAGATATTATTTGCTGATTAGTTGATAATGTCTGTGGGAAACTCTGATAATTAAAAAGAAAATTGATTAGAACGGAGGTTGAAACCTTTGGTCAATAGGTTCATCCTCGGATATCGGCCTTATTATCTCAGTATGGGTAATTGACCCTATGGAATGCTTGAGGTAGGGGGAGAAGGGGGGAATTAGCCTTGTTTTACAAGTTCCTTGAGGAACCCAGGGCCAGGGAAGCTGCGCAATTGGCTTAGGATCACATGTCAAACCTCTGGAGACTGGAGGAATCCTGAATCTGGGGCTTGTTCCACACTTAACCTGATGAAGCTTAATTGGGGCTGTTTTTAAGCATTAAACATTTTCAGCCAAGAGATTTTTAATTAACAATTTTCTTCCTTTGCCATGAAGGTATGAAAAAAACTTCTACCTTTAAAAGCTATTAATTGAAAGCATAGGCTGTGGAGTAACAGAGACCTTGCAGTAGATCTGCTTCATAAACTGTGTGACCTTGAGTGTGTCACATTTTTTCAGAAAATAACTTTTCTTCCCTGGTGCACAGGGAATAATAGTATCTATACCTCAGGGAGTTGTGAAGATCAAATGAGATAATATGTATAAAGTGCTTAGTAAAGTTTTTCTGGCACAGAGTAAGTACTCAGGAAATGGTAGTTGCTGTTATCACTGGTATTCGTTTGTCCTGTTATACCCCATGACTCTACTGGGATACTAACATAACTTATTTTAGGGCATTCCTATATTTATTATCTGAAGAAGATTACGTGGGACCATTCTCATGAGAAAATTAGGGAGAGCTTATCAGGCCAGCACCTTGCTTCTATTTAAACTATCTCCTCATAGTAAGATACAGGGTTGGCATTTCCCCTTCTTGGTTTCACCAAGACCTACCTCAGTCCTCTTTTGTATAGACACCCTGAGGCATCTGGATGCCTTAGTGGTTTGGAACCATGAACTGGATATACCTTTGTTGTATCCTCCAAGCTCTCCAGCTGTAGGGGACCTTCTGAAGCTGTTCCCTGTCTCTCTCTCTGGAGAACCACTGTGGCTTGGTCTGTCAGATGAAGACGACTCTGTCTTCAATTTTGCAAAGAAAATGCTCTCAGCTACTAGTGATAGCAAGATGGCACTTGTTCTTCCTATTAAGATATTATTTCAGTTCTGGAAATCAGACTTGTGGGTGGATTAAAATAAATTTCTAACTTATATGAGGTACCTAGAGTAGTCAAATTCATAGAGACAGAAAGTAGAATGGTGGTTGCCAGTGGCTGGAGAGAGGGAGGAATAGGGAGTTACCCCTTTAATGGGTACAGAGTTTCAGTTTGGGAAAATGAAAACTGTTCTGGAGATGGATGGTGGTGATGGTTGCAAAACAACATAAGTGTACTTAATGCTGCTGAAATGTACACTTAAAGATGGTTAAAATAGTAAATTTCATGTTACATATATTTTGCCACAATTAAAAAAAGTTTTTTCAGCCCTCCCTGGGTGGCTCCGTTGATTGGAACATTGTGCCATATACCAAAAGGGTTGCAGGTTCCATCTCCGGTGGGGGCACATACAGAAGCCAACCGATCAATGTTTTTTTCCCCTCTCTCTCTCTCCTGCCTTTCCACTCTCTCTAAAAATCAATATAAATCGTATCCTTAAGTGAGGATTAAAAAAAATTTTTTTTTTCAGTCCTAGTCTCTGGCATATCTTGCAAGAGTCGCAGAGAACCACAACTTTTGGAAGAAGCATCATAAAAAAGGGAAGTTGGTTGTCCATATTTTTTAAAGTTGTGGTTTCCTTCATCAGAAGCATCAGGATGCCCCTGTTTGAGGTGGGCCTCATGCACCCACGTTTATGCTGCAAATTTGTGTGAACAGTTCTCAAAGGGAGAATGGCTCGCCCTTACCCAGGAGGCTGGACCTTGGGGAGGTTTAGAACTGGAAAAAGCTTTTCTTTCGCCTTTGATCCAGGAACAGACAGATCATATTTTCTGAGAAGACATGACTTAGAAAGCTGATGCTCTCTAAATGCTGAGTTTTGCAGAGCCAGGGAAAATGCTGGCGAAAGCCAGGCAAGAGCAACTATGGAGTGCAGCACTCTAGCCTTTTCTCTCTTCCCACAGCACCTTGCTGGGTCCTTTCCCCGCCCAGAAGTCATGGGTAGAAATTTTTTTAGAAATTTTTGGGTATCACTCTTCCCTGAAGTAGATGTGCATTTCCTCTGTGATAATTGAAATCCAATTTTCCATTTTGGAAATACTTTTTAGCAGAGTAAGTTTTTCAACTGCAAAAACACGAAGTTAGTGAAAGAAACCACCTCATTTCCCCATATCCAGATTTGGG